GAGCTGGTATCCCTTAGCCTCCAAACCTCCCTTCTTGCCAGACCAGACATTTGAAACAGAGCTGTTTTGCCTCATTCTCTGACATCTCTCTACTCAACATTAAAAATGCAGGAATGGGGTGGGCAGGAATGGGGCGGGCAGGCAGGGTGGCACAAGCCTGTAATCCCAGCACTTAGGAGAATGGACTTCCAGGCCAGTTTGAGCTTCATAGAAAGACAATGTCAAAAATATGTAGGAACCAAATATATTTACATAAATTATCAGAATTTTGACTGTCCAAACACAGGAACTGAATTTTTGTCCCAGGTTCTATGGATAGAACCCAGGCCTCTGTATATGGTAAGCAAGTACTCCACCCTCCACCACTGAGCCATACCCCCAGCCTCCTGGATACATTTTTGAGTTAGAGTCATTACACATCATCATCTGACCTCTCTCTTCCTTCCTTCCTTCCTCCCTCCCTCCCTCCCTCTCCCTTCTTTCCTTCCTTCCTTCCTTTCTTTCTTTCTTTCTTTCCTTCTTTCTTTCTTTTTTCTTTCTTGTCCCTCAAGGGGCCTAAACTCAGGGCCCTTTTTTGCTTAAGGCTAGTGCTCTACCACTTTGAGCCACAGTTCCATTTCTGGTTTTCTGGTAGTTAACTGGAGGTAAGAGTCTTAGACTTTCCTGTGCAGGCTGGCTTTGAACTGTGATCCTCAGATATTAGCCTCCTGAGCAGCTAGGATTACAGACCTGAGCCACCAGTGCCTGCTTTACCTCCCGTTTCTTTTTTTTTCTTTCTTTCTTTCTTCCTTTTTTTTTTTTTTTTTGGCCAGTTGTGTGGTCTGAACTCTGGGCCTGGGCGCTGTTCCTCAGCTCTTCAGCTCAAGGCTAGCACTCTACCACTAGAGCCACAGTGCCACTTCTGACTTTTTTTCTGCTTATGTGGTGCTGAGGAATCAAACCCAGGGCTACCACTGAGCCACCTTCCCAGCCCCATGACCTCTCCTTTCTATGTAAGATGCATAAACAAAATATTTTTCAGATAACTTGATGTGTTTCGCTATCTAAATTTCCAGAATTCTCCCTCTCTCAGAACTCAGATACCAAATAGATTGAGACAATGAGGGGAAACTCGGTTGGGGAGTTAATAGCTTTTTTTTTTTTTAATCAGTCATGGGGCTTGAACTCTAGGCCAGGGCACTGTCCCTGAGCTCTTCTGCTCAAGGCAAGCACTCTACCACTTGAGCCACAGCACCACTTCTGGTTTTCTGTAGTTAATTGGAGCTAAGAGTCTCTCAGACTTTCTTGCCCAGGCTGGCTTTGAACCATGATCCTTGGATCTCAGCCTCCTGAGAAGCTAGGATTATAGGCATGAGCTACCAGCACCCGGCTTGGAATTAACAGATTTGAATAAATGTTTTGGATAAATAAGACAGGTCTGGTATTCATTATTTGAACTCACTATTCTGTGAGAAATACAGGAACAAAACATAATTAAGTACATTACCTTCTTACTACCCAAATTCTCACCATCCATTCTCAAAATAGGGTATTCCAAGCAAAGAAAGTTCAGGTTACTATTTGTTTTTGTGTGCATGCTGGTCCTGGGGCTTGAACAGGGTCTGGGCACTGTCCCCAAGCTTTTTGCTCAAGGCTAACACTCTACCACTTGAGTTACAGCTCCATTTCTGGCTTTTTGGTGACTAACTGGAGATAAGAATCTAACGGACTTTCCTACTGAGGCTGGGTTCAAACTACAATCCTCAGATCTCAGCCTCAGCTAGGATGACATGCATGAGCTACCAGTGCCCAGCTCAGTTTACTATTATTAGCGGATAGGCCTGACTCCTTTTTCTTTTCTTTTTTCTTTTTTCCAATGCTGGGAATCAAATCCAATGCCTCCCACATTCCAGGCAAGCGTTCAACCACTGAGCTGTACCTCCAGCCTTCCAGGCTCCAGGCTTTAAAAAAACTCATTCTCATGCTCACACTATGCTCCAGGCTTAAAAAAAAAACAAAAAAAAAAACTCATTCTCACACTCAGGAATCTGAGATCTGAGGATTATGGTTCAAAGCCAGCCCATACAGGGAAGTTCATGAGACTCTTATTTCCAATTAACCATCAGAAAACTGGAAGTGGAGCTATAGCTCAAAGTGGTATAGTGCTTGCAAAAAGAGCTCAAGGATAGCACCCAGGCCCTGAGTTCAAGCCCATCAACCAACAAAACAAAACTAAACTAAATCTCACTACATTGACTAGGCTGGTTTACAACTCCTGGTCTCAAAGCAATCCTCCTACCTCAGCGTCACAAGTAGCTGGGACTAAAGGTGTGCACTACTACACCAGCTAAATGGGACTGATTTTAACACCCACTAATTGCCTATGTCCCTCCACCCCCCCCACACACACACAGAAGAGACCTGTTCCACAGAACAGGAAGGTAATTAGCACCACAATGTTTATTGCTTACTGTAATGAGAAGGGATAAGTACCTTTACCAATCCCACTTTTACCAAAACCTGAAGCCCCTGAACTAGAAGAGACTATTTCAGGCCAAGAAAGCAGAGATCATACACTTAGAATCAAGATGGCCCTCTGTGCCCACATATTTTCTCAACCGCCCTACCCCCTTGTCTCCCCCAGCTGCCTTGGGTCAGCCCCCAACCTAACAAAGCTGGAAACATGATCCTGACCTCTCAGACTCCTAGAGAGTTGCTGAATAATTTAGGGTGTTCTTTCACACCTGGGGAGGGCAGGGGGCATAGGAACATTTCCATGCCCTCCTGGGGCAGTAAGAGAAAAGCTCTAGATGAGATCACAACGGTGGAGTTGGGAGTGGGGGAGTTGGGAGTGGGGGACGAAAAAAATCACACACAAAAGCCTCATCAACCACATAGAGCACAAAAAGGCTATTTGCTCCTGTTAAAAGAAATATTGGAATCTACTTCAGAATCCCTGGCAACAACAGAACTTTCAAGTTCAGGAGCCCATTCCTGGGCTCAGAAGGATGGGAAGTAGGCATTGGGAAGATCTGAACAAGGTAGAAGGTCAAAATAAGAAGGTAAAAGGGGGGTCTGGCCAGACCTACTTGACTCATGTCTGTAATCCTAGCTACTCAGGAGGTTGAGATCTGAGGATCGCAACTTGAAACCAGCCTGGGCAGGAAAGCCTGTCAGACTCTTATCTCTAACAAACTATCCAAAAAAAGCCAGATGTGGAACTGTGGCTTAGTGGTAGAGCATAAGCCTTTGAGCAAAAAAGCTCAGGAACAGTGCCCAGGCTCTGAGTTCAAGCTTCTGCCAGGATGTGCACCAAAAATAAAAAAACAAAAAACAAAAAAGGGGTCTGAGTAGGGCGCCAGTGGCTCAGGCCTATAATCCTAGCTACTCAGGAGGCTGATATCTGAGGATCACAGTTTGGAGCCAGCCAGGGCAAAAAAGTCCATAAGACTCTTATCTCCAATTAACCTCCAAAAAGCTGGAAATAGAGGTTTGGCACAAGAGGTAGAGTGCTAGCCTTGACCAAAAAGAGCACAGGGACAGTGTCCAGGTGCTGGGTTCAAATCCCAGGACCAGCACCAAAAATAAGAATCAGGACAGACACTAAGTTCTGGTTGCTCAAGCCTGTAATCGTACCTATTCAGGGGGCTGAGATCTGAGGATCTCAGTTTGAAGCCAGCCAGGGTAGAAAAATCCATACAGCCGGGCACTGGTGGCTCACGCCTGTAATCCTAGCTACTCACGAGGCTGAGATCTGAGGATCTCCGTTCAAAGCCAGCCCAGGCAGGAGAGACCGTGAGACTCCTATCTCCAATAAACCACTAGAAAACCGGAAGTGGCGCTGTAGCTCAAGTGGTAGAGCGCTCGCCTTGAGCTGAAGAGCTGAGGGACAGCGCCCAGGCCCAGAGTTCAAGCCCCACGACCGACAAAAATAAAAAAAAAAATTAAAAATCCATACAATACTTATCTTTGATTAACCTCCAAAATGTTGGAAGAGGAGTTGTGGCTTAAGTGGTAGAGTGCCAGCCTTGAGAGAAAAAGCTAAGGGCCATCACCCAGGCCCCGAGTTCAAACCTCAGTTCCAGCACACACCAAAAAAGAAGAAAAAGAAGCAGGTCATAAGGCTGGGGGTGTGGCTGTGATTGTCTATCATGTGTTTAACTGGGGTTCAGTCCCTAGTACAACAAAACAACACAACATAGAAGATAGGATACAGTGAGGTTTAGACTAGAAAGAGACAAAACAGTAGGGCAGGGGTCAGTGTCAGAATTGAATAGTAGCCAGAAGACACGACTTGGGACAGGCCAAGGGAGGGGATAGGGATAAGGTTCAAGGGAGGGTATAGGGATAAGGTTCAGGATGAAGGTCAGGAACAAGAAAAGAACCGTACAAAATGAGGATAAAAATGAAGTGGTGAAAAGAGGGGCAAACAGACAGGGTTGTGGTCAGGGACAGAGGGGATGTCTAAACGCGAGTCAGGAGGGAGATAGGAGTCCAGAGAAGAACCAGGAGGGTAGGACAGGGGTGAGGAGAAAGGAATTGGAAGCAGAGGCTAGGAATCAGGATAGAACCGGATCCAATTGGTGTTAGAGATACAGGACACTTGACTGGAAGAGGTTCAGAGACTGGATGTGCATCTGAGGGACAGGTCAACCATCAGGATAGAAACTTGGTCCGAAATGGGCTTTAGAGATGGGATAGAGTCAGGCAAAGATCAGGCCAAAAGGTCCTGAGGACAAATCTGGTTGGGCAGGCTGGGGGGAGGGGGGGGTATCAGGACTAGGGGAACAAAACAAGGGTTGAATATAGTTAGGTCAAGGGTTGAGAAGGAAGATCTTGAGGCTAAGGCTGACAGGGGTTCAGGTTTTTAAAACGATATGTAGTCGAGTCTCACAGGGGCCAGAGGTGAGGGCACAGAGTTAGGGGGCGCAGGGGCGCGCTCAGGTACATCCTTGTAGGCGTTGCCTGGCCTTCACCCCACCCTGTCCCCTACAATCTTCTCCTGGCCAGGGCTTACTCACCGAGGTCCTTGCACCGAGGTGCAGGCAGGTTCGAGATAGGCCAGCAAAAGATAGTGGGCGCGCCCCTCCTTGCTTCGCCCTGCTCGTTCCCGGGCGTGTATCTAATCCCCTTCTGCGCCCTGCCAGTGGGCCGCGATCTGCCGCGCGACCGTTAGCTGTGGGGGGCAGATGGAGGACCCCCGAAGGGCGGGAACGGAGCGCCAGCCCCTCCACAGGCAGTGGATCCCCGTCTCCCACCTTTACCTAGGGTCGGTCGGCTCCTGACAGCATCTCCACCTCCTCGGCTGAGCCCAAGCCTGGTGGGGTGGGGTGGGGGGCGCCTGGGGGGCGGGGCGCGAGACCACAGCAGCGGCGGAGACGAAATGCGCAGGCGCCAGTTCGGGTCTTCGATTTTCCTGCCCTGGGAGCGCCAGGAGCAAAGAAACTGGGAGCGCGTGCGCACATGCTTTTTTTGAGAGCAGCAGATCCCTCCCCTGCCGAGACCACGCCCCGTCAGCGAGCTGACTAGCGCCCTTCACCCTCTCTGGAGTTCCAAGCAATACACTGAACTGCTCTTTATGAGCCACCATCACATCTCGAAACTAAATCAACGATACCCTCTACCGTCTTTCAAAGTCACCCAAACGACTCTCCATCCTCCTCCAAGTTATACATAGAGGTATTGTGTATTGATTCCAACTAGTTCCTCTAATCATCCTCCATAGACACACATTTGAGCTGCACCAACACACCACTGTCTATTGACCTTCAATCAGAACCTAAATCACACTATGTGGAACCCCAAACTATATTCCTACGTTACCCTCCCTGGATGTTGAAATGGGATGCAAAAAGTAGTCAAAGACCCCTTTGCAATGCAACTCAAGCCACACTCCATCAAACCCCAAATTACCTGATTTATCTCTGAATTTCAGCCACCAAACCACCTTCCACCATTCCTCCAATTGTATTCTTAAATTACCTGCAATTTATCCTTTATGGACACCAAAGTTGTACTGGTAAATTAACTTTCACGGCCTCCAAGTGGTTTCCCCAGAGCATCTGCAATCAGCCCTGGAACTATTAACTCCTCAAGAGTATATTTGTGTGTGTGTGTGTGTGTGTGTGTGTGTGTGTGTGTGTGTGTGTTAGTTCAGGGGCTAGAACTCAGGACCTGGATGCTATCCCTTAGGGTTTTTTATTTGTTTGTTTTGTCAGTTGTGGGGTCTGAACCCTGGGCCTGGGCACTGTCCCTCAGCTAGGTAGGCTAGCGCTCTACCACTTGAGCCACAGCACCACTTCCAGCTTTTTCTGCGTATGTGGTGCTGATGGATGGAACCCAGGGCCTCATTCATGCTAAGAAAGTATTCTACCACTAAGCAGCATTTCAAGGCCCCCCCTCCCCACACACACACATCCATTTTGTATTTGAAACCACAATCCTCAGATCTCAGTCTCCCGAGTAGCTTGGATTACAGGCGTGAACCACCTACCCCTAGCACATTACTAACTATTGAACCCAGCAGGGCCTTGAGAATGGTAGGAAAACTCTCTACCACTAAGCTACATTCTAGCCCCAAATATCACTTCTAAATGCTACTCAGGAGACTGAGATCTGAGAATTGGGGTTCAGAGCCAGCCTGGGCATACAAATCTGAAAGACCCCTATATTCAATTAACCAGCAAAAAAATCTTAAAGTGGAGTTGTGGTAGAGTACCAGCCAATAGCTAAGAAAGCTAAGCAAGGGCTGGGAATATGGCTTAGTGGTAGAGTGCTTGCCTAGCACACATGATGGCCTGGGTTCAATTCCTCAGTACCACATACACAGAAAAAGTTGGAAGTGGCACTGTGGCTCAAGTGGTAGAGTGTTAGCCTTGAGCCAAAGCAGCTCAGAGACAGCGCCTAAATCCTGAGTTTAAGCCCTAGGACCAGCACACAAAAAAAAGCCAAGCAAGAGCATTAGTACTGACATAATCAATCAATCAATCAATAAATCACTTTCAATATGTGCCCAAAGCAGTCTCCATTGACCCAAACTACTCTCACGAGCTCTCCAAACCAAACTCTACTAATCTCCAAAGTGCTATCCGAGAGCCTCCAAACATTTTGGGCACTGGAATATAACTTGGAGCTTCTGCAACAAGATGGTTTGTAGTTATTTGCAAGGATAGTCCCAAATGTGTTTCCCAACCCCTCCAATGATTTTACCTGACCCCAAAATAACAATTCAGGAACCAAAATTACAAAACATTTAACAATGATCTTTTCTTTTCTCAAATTAAATTTTTTTGCCAGTCTGGGACTTGAAATCAGGTCTTGGGCACTGTCCCTAAGCTTTTTGCTCCAGGCTGGAGTTCTACCATTGAGCCACAGCACCACTTAGAGCCTTTTCTGAGTAGTTTATTGGAGATGAGAGTCTCAGGGACTTTCCTGCCCACGTTGGCTTCAAACTGAGATCCTCAGATCTCAGCCTCCTGAGTAGCTAGGATTACAGTCATAAGCCACTGGCACCCAGCCTTTTCTTTCTTTTCTTTTGCTTTATTTTTGACAGTATCAGTTTGAACTCAGGGTCTTGTGCTTGCTAGGTGGATGCTCTACCACATAAGCCATACTTCTGGACCTCCAATGATCTTTACTTAAAATCTATAATTTATTGCCAAGTGCTGGTTGCTCATGCCTATAATCCTAGCTCCTCAGGAGGCTGAGATCTGAGGATCACAGTTTAAAGCCAGCCCAGGCAAGAAAGTCCATGAGACTCTTATCTCCAGTTAACCACCAGAAAACCAGAAGTGGTGCTGTAGCTCAAAGTGGTAGATTGCTAGACTTGAGCAAAAGGAGCCAAGGGACAGCGCCCAGGCCCAGAGTTCAAGCCCCAGGACTGGCACTTAGCTATTCAGGAAGCTGAGGTCCGAGGATCACTTTTTTTTTTTTGGGTCTGGTTGTGGGGCCTGAACTCTGGGCCTGGGCGCTGTCTCTCAGCTCTTCAGCTCAAGGCTAGCGCTCTACCACTTGAGCCACAGCACCACTTCCGGCTTTTTTCATTTTGCTTATGTGGTGCTGAGGAATCGAACCCAGGGCCTCAGGCATGCAAGGCAAGCTCTCTACCACTGAGCCATCTTCCCAGCCCCCGAAGATCACTTTTTGAAGCCAGCCCAGGCAGAAAAGTTGTGAAACTCTTATCGTCAATGAACTACTTAGAAAAATCCAGAAGTGGCATTGTGGCTCAAGTGGTAGAGCAAGAGCCTTGAGCACAAAGAGGCTCAGGGACATCTCCCAGGCTCTGAATTCAAGTCCCAGCTCTTGCAAAAAAAATACCAAAGTGTCTACAAATCACTACAACCAGTTTTAAAGTATTTACATAATTCCAGTTAGATCCCCCATGCCTAAATACAGTTAATCTCTGTTCTCATTCCCAGGCAACCACAAATTTACTTTCTGTCTCTATAGATTTGCCTTGTCTCAGACATTTTGTATAAATGCAATATTTGGATTTTTTTGTTTGGCTTCTCTCACTTAATATAAGGTTTTTGAGTTTCATCTGTTGTAACATGTTCCATGTAGTCTGTTCCATTTGTTGCTGAGTAGTAGTCTATCCAATGACCTTCTAACCGCTTCCAAATTACCAACTAATAGCACCCCAACTACAACTCATCTCAACCCCTTGAAATTCAAACTTCAGAACAGGCTCCTAAACAACATACCAAATAATTCCTATTAGCCCTCCATAACCCCAACCACTGTATTGATTCTCTGTCACCACCAAACTACCCTCCCATGGCCTCACTTTCACTCCAAACCAACTTTTTCGTTTCTTTTTTTATTTCTCTCAATCTCTCTCTCTCTTCCTTTTTTTCTTTTCTTTTTTTTTTGGGTCCGGTCATGGAGCCTGAACTCTGGGCCTGGGCGCTGTCCCTCAGCTCTTCAGCTCAAGGCCAGCCCTCTACCACTTGAGCCACAGCGCCACTTCCGGCTTTTTTCTTTTTGCTTATGTGGTGCTGAGAAATCGAACCCAGGGCCTCTGGCATGCAAGGCAAGCGCTCTACCACTGAGCCACCTTCCCAGCCCCCCTCTCTCTCTCTCTCTCTCTCTCTCTCTTTCTTTATGTCTTCCTTCCTTCCTTCCTTTTTTTTTTTTAATTTTTTTGGGGTCCGGTCATGGGGCCTGAACTCTGGGCCTGGGCGCGGTCCCTCAGCTCTTCTGCTCAAGGCTAGCACTCTACCACTTGAGCCACAGTGCCACTTCCGGCTTTTTTCTTTTTGCTTATGTGGTACTGAGGAATCGAACCCAGGGCCTCAGGCATGCAAAGCAAGCGCTCTACCACTGAGCCAACTTCCCAGCCCCCTTCCTTCCTTTCTTTCTGTTTCTTTCTTTCTCTCTCTCCCTTCCTTCCTTCCTTCCATTTCTATTTCTTTCTCTTTCTCTTTTCTTTCTCCCTCTCTTTCTTTCTTTTCTTCTTTCTTTCATTTCCTTCCTTCCTTCCTTCCTTCCTTTCTTTCTTTCTTTCTTTCTTTCTTTCTTTCTTTCTTTCTTTCTTTCTTTCTTTCTTTCTTTCTTTCTTTCTTTCTTTCTTTCTTTCTTTCTTTCTTTCTTTCTTTGTCGGTTATGGGGCCTGAACTCTGGGCCTGGGTGCTGAGCCACCTTCCCAGCCCATCTTTCTTTCTTTCTTTCATCAGTTCTGGGATATAAACTCAAGGCCAAAGGTGTTGTCCTTGAGCTTCATTTTGTTAAGGCTAGCACTCTTCCACTTGAGCCAGAGCTCCACTTCCAGCTTTTGTATTTTTGGGGGGTGGGGTAGTGTATGGGAGACAAGAGTATCATGGACTTTCCTGCCTGGGTTGGCTTTGATCCTCAGATCTCAACCTCCTGAGTAGCTAGGATTACAGGCATGAGCTACTGTGCTTGCTTTCACTTGTTTGTTGTTATGTTAGAGTTCTTATTGCTCAAGGTTAGGATTCTATCACTTGAGCCACACCAGCATTGACCTCCAAACCATCTTCTAACAACTCCACTAAACCCTCAATATTAACTTATTAACTCCAAAAAAAGCAGGTCACAGAATTGCCATCTATACTCCCATCTACTCAAGAGACTGAAAGGCAGGAGGATCATTTAAGTGCAGGAGTTCTAGGCTACTCTAGACAAGCTAGTAAGAAATTCATCTCATTTTATTGT